CTGTAATCGCGTCCAGTTCTTGCCACCTATCCATATCTTGTCTCTATTGTTTATCTGCCTGTAAAATAGATGCTCTTAGACCTCAACACTTGTTGCTATCCAGATGCATCCACGATGAGATGAACGCGTCCGACTTGCCATTGTGCACCAGCCTGTGCTTGCCATTGTTGCCGTTGCCTTGAACCCACAATGCCAGCACACGCATTGTTTACCGACATCCATCACATTGCCATCCGCTTATGTCGGCGCCGTCAGCAGCATGGAGCACAGGCCGGTGCACATACCATCCATACGAGTCAGACGGCTTGCGTCTTGGACAAGCATACGACAACTCTCCTGGCTGGTGCGGATACCGATACTCGGCACTCAACATCGCACGCATCACTGCACTGCACGGCATCACGGCCGCTGAATGCGGCAACTGTCTGCAAATCCAGTCGTCGTCCGGTGTCGGTCCGCTTGCCCATGTTCTCGTCGTCGACCAAAAGGGCGATCCGGGACTGGACGTGGCCAAGTCGAGCTTCGCTGCCCTGTTCCCTGGCGAGAATCCGCTGGATCAACAAGTCTGCCGATGGCGAGTCGTGGGTATCGAGCACTGCCGTGGGGTGTGTGGTGGTCCCGAGTGTGCGGTGCCAGGTGTGCGCAACCTACTGCCTGCATATCTGATGGCGCCGTTGGACCGCGCAGTCGAAGCGGCATCCGAGCGTGTTGATGTCGGACGCGACGATCCGTCGGTTGGTGCACCGGATGGATCGCTTGGTGCTGCAAGTGCTTCTCCCGCAAGTACATCGACTGCGAGTGCTTCTCCTGCAAGTGCGACGGTTGTCAAGACGGTTGTTGTAACGAGGTATCAGCAGACACATGCATCAGAGACTGTAGCAGCATCAGCAGCAACACCGACGCTGGCCGAGACAGCAACAGAGACTCCTCAGCAGCAGCAGCAGCAGCAGCAGCAGGATCACATGGAGTACGACTTTCGTCCGGCAGGCATCGTCTCGCATGGATCGCACTCGTCGCCGTCCTGGATGGCCATCGCAACTTCGTTTGCCATGACGCTGGCGTTCATCGTCCTCTGATGTCTGCAGCCATGCATCGCAGCATGCATCGAATGAATGGCATCATCGTCGTCATCCTTGGTCATGCAGGACCGTTGAGATTGGCTGGTCGATGACGGTCCATCACCATCTGGGCATCGGCCAGTGGGTCCCGACCGACCGACCAACCGGCCAAGCCCAGTGCATGCACATTCCCTCAATGCATGCATGCGATCGAGAACTGTTGTGCCGATGCAGCTGGACTGCACACCGACAACAGATCGCTGGCATATGGACCCACCTATGTGGAGCAGCCACAGCCAGGCTGTCATTCGCCATGAGAGCGACACAAGCATGCCACAAGCAGGCACCAACAACGCAGCAATCGCTCGCCTGGCAGCAGACTGTTGACCGACGTGCCGGCACATACAGCCGCCGTCTACTGATCATGTCCTGATTCAATCAGCCGTGCCCTGCATCCCAACCACACAGTCATCGCTGATGGCTCAAGAGCGAACGTGGGAACGGGAGTCATCTCCCTGCATGACTCAGTCAACACCTTCCGATAACGGGAGGATCGCGCTCGCTTCCGTCACGCCACAGTCCCATTGTTCGCGTTGGGTCTGGACAGTCTCGATCCCGGGTCTGCAGAACACAGCGTCTCGACGCGGCGGTCTGGCGATACCTTTCCAAAGGGTCGGATCGCCATGTCCGTCAGTCATGTTGCTGTTTCCGTGTCGGTGGCGGCGTGCCCGCGCGTCGAGACTGACAGGCCAGACTCGAAGAAGCGAGGCGCACCTCATATCCATCCACGCCGAACCCACACTCAACATCAACGATCAGCCACCTCGCCGGTCCGATCCACTGCGATCCATTTATGCACACTGACACTCTCGTTGGCGGCCGGCACACACAACCGAGGACATGCACGGGGAAGCAGCACACTGAGTCACAGCCTGTCACGGCCATTCGTCACTCCTCTGCGCCATTCTGTCGAGACTTCCAAGCCTTAAGAACGCAGTGTCGCCCCCAGAACAGTCTGGCCGACTTGCTCCAATCCACTCGACCATCTCCTCAACGTAAGCATGCCCTGCACACAATCCGCAGGTGCACATGCCCATCACCGCTTCCTGCCGCGGTGCTGCTACTGATGACTAACGCCTGCCTCGCTCGCCCACAGTCACATCCACGTTCTCAGACCCACTCGGCGCGCCACAACGCCTGCATCCATTTCTCCAACAGCCCAACAGCCAGCCCTAAAAGTCGGTGCAATCACGCAGCTTGTGACCCATTCATCCAGCCTTCGACCCAACAGCCTCGACAAGCCATTTGCATCAACCTTGACTCTTGGTCCAGAACCCCGAACCCACTCATACCGCCCATCAGCACCAGTCTGGTGTTCATCCCGCCCATCACCACCCTTCATGACGTCCGTCACAACCATGTCCTGCAACACACCAGCCGCTGTGCACCACTCGCATCAACGACCACAGCTGCTGTTCCTTGACCGTTATGCTCTCCACAAGACGATCGGTGAGGGCACGTACGGCAAGGTCAAGCTCGCCACCAACACGCACACCAGCCAGCAGGTACGCTTGTCGTGTCTGTCGCATTGTGTGCATCCACGCGACTGTCTGTCTGCCTCTGTCTGTCCCTCCGTCTGTCTGCCTGCCTGCCTGCTGTTGGTGGATGTGCAGCAGTCACTGACGCTATCGTCTATCCTCAACCGCCATGCGATTGCATCCGTCCCCTCGGCCGGCATGCATCGGCGGCGTCGATACAATATCGCGACGGACTAACCTCGCGCGGAACACGGAAATCCAACCCCATCGACGGTCGCGCCTCATGGCCTTCTCGACTGGCTCTATCGTCGCTCTTGGTCTGGGCCGCTCGGTCTGTTCCAACACCGCAAATCCTCCAATGGTCTCACCTTGAGTCTGCAGGTCGCTCTGAAGATCATCGAAAAGAAGTCGCTGAGGCGCACGGTCGACGTGCAGCGCCTCAAGAACGAAGTGCGCATCATGCACCTGGTCCGCCACCCCAACATCGTGCACCTGTTCGAAGTGCTGGTAAGCTGCTCCCCACCGCAATGGTCGTTGCTCGTATTGACAGCATGGCTGACACTTGCTGTGTGTGCCTGTTTGTGCCTGTGTGTGCCTGTGCCTGTGATCAGGAGAGCGACACACAAATCGTGTTCGAGAGCGAGTATGCTGCTGGAGGTAAGAGAGAGAGACGCAGAGAGAAAGAGGGGCGACCACTTGCTTTTTATCGCACTCGCCCATCAACGGCTGCGACTGTGATTGTCCAGTCACACTTGCGTCACCGTTTCCATCTTCGTGGCGATCTTCGTGCACATCCACGATGCGCCACAGTCTGCGATGTGCACTGAGTGTGATGAATGGCGTGCCTGTGTCTGTCCATCTCGTCATCGTCCATTCGGGCATGTCGCTGATCAGCCACTGCTGGCTGTCGATGCGATGCGATGTGATGTGCAGGCGAGCTCTACAACCTCATCGTGCAGACCGGACCCCTCACGCACGCCTTTGCGCACTCGGTGTTTGTGCAGCTCGTCGCTGCCGTCGAGTACCTCCATGCCCACTTTATCGTCCATCGTGGTGAGTCTGTTCCCATGCGGCTGGCCCTCGCTCTCGTCTGCACTCGGCTGCATAGTGGAGTGTGCCTCGTCTGATGTGCTGACACCTCGCATCGCATCGCATCGCATCGGCTCGTGCAGACATCAAGCCAGAGAACATCATGGTGTCTCGCCGTGGCGAGGCCAAGATCGTCGACTTTGGATTCGCACGCTTCTACAACCGATCGGCCGACTGCTCGACCTCGTGCGGCTCGCTCAAGTACTGTGCACCAGGTCAGCCTGCCTGCTCTCTCACCCCAGCTCCCTTTTCCCGCCCGTCTCTGCAGCCATCCACCTGCTGACACTCCTCAACTGCACAGAAGTCATCCGCCACGAGAAGTACCAGGGTCCCGAGGTCGATGTGTGGAGCCTTGGCGTGACGCTTTACACCATGATCAACGCGTCGCTGCCGTTCATGTCCGAGACCAACAACGAGGCCGAGATTGTGCGCCGCATCTGCAGCAGCCACCCGCGTGCGGGTCTCCACTTTGACAGAGGTATGCATGCATCGTGGCACTTGCCACTTGTCTGGTGTCGTCACCAACGTGGTGGTCATGAGCTGACATTGACACACAAACACACACAGATTCGCTCGACCTTGTGCTGATGATGCTGCGTAAGGACCGCGCCACCCGCGCGACCATCAGCCAAGTGGCATCGCACGTGTGGACCACAGGCACGCCGTCCGTGTCGCCTGCATCCTCGGCAACACCAGCCACTCCCACGCACACTCGCACACTCACAACCGCTGCAACGGACGCCTGGCAGACACGCCACATCACGACATGCATCACGCATCCAGAGACAGCCATCCTCGACCAGTTTGATCTGTTTGGCTTTGACGTCACGGCCGCCACTCTCGCCGATCTCGCATCGTCTGTGCCCACACCGGTGCATGCAGTGTACACACTGCTGTCACGCCGCCGCGACCATGGCGAAGTCGTGTTTGCAAGCACCGACGCACCAGCTCCTTCCCCTTCACAAGCTCCTTCTCCTTCTTCTGCCCCTTCTCCCGCGGCATCGCCTGCGCCAGAGACCGACAGCCGCCAGTCGTTGCGGCTGGACACGAACCTGGTCGGCAAGAGCTCGACATCGGTGCTGGATTCAGGATACGAGAGTATGCCCATGTCGCCAGCCACCGCCATCCTCTTCTAATCGGTCCCAATTATTGTAAATAGATACCCAAACCAGTCCATGCTGATGCACACAGCCAGCCAGCCACGGGCAGCCAGCCACGGACGACAGCGCACACAGACAGCGCAGACGAGAGGTGCAAAAGGAGAGCCAGAGCTTCGCAAGGGGCAGCAAAATGGCAGGCGGGACAAAAGGAAATGTGCCTCCTAGGTGATTTGAACACCTGACCTCTTGCTTACTAGGCAAGCGCTACTACCACTGAGCTAAGGAGGCTCCTCTTGTTCGATTTTGACGCCAGAAACAACAAGTACTCTACCCACACAAACACTGCAAAACAACATTCGCATTGCCACATTGTGCTGGACACGCCAAGGCACGCCAAGGCACACAAAGAGTCACAAAGACACACAAGGACACTTTCATTCAGCCATCCACATCTGCCGCACTTGCATCTTATGCGCTGCGCTGGACTGTGTGGAGTGTGGCATGCGATCCAGCAGCATGGTGGATTGTGTTGTTGTCTGCCTGGCTGGCACGAGTATTGGTTGGCACATCAAGGCATCCCATCGACACTGACGCCATGTCGCATCTTGCGTCCGGTCTCGGTGTGCTCGACCGCCGTCTTCTCCATGCATCACTGTCCTGTGCCACGATCCCCACAAACTCGCGGGCAGTCTGTGCATCTCCAAACTTGATGGACAGAATGAGCGTCTTGTCTGTGCGCACGTCCACAACACAGCCGTCGCTGGCGTCGAGTGACAGATCAAGTTTCTTGATGTCGCGCAGGAACAGGTGCGGGCCGTTGAAAATCATCTGCATCGACCGCCGCGATCCGCGCTCGGCACCCGACTTTGAGACGTGCAGTTTTGTGCGCTTGAAAACGACGAGGTCAATCGCAGTCACATGGACAAGCTCGGCTGTGATCCATATCGGCGCAATGTTGTGTTCCTTGTATGAGACAAAAAAGCGTCGGATGGGCTGGTCGTGAAGGAGCATGGACTGCGATCCTGCAGACACTCGAGACATCCGCGATCTCTGCATTTGCGGACTGTCGGAATCGTCCGTCTCGGACGTGTCATTGCTGGGAGGCATGAGTGGCTGTCTCGGGCTCGGCGACGCGGGCGAGTAGACGCGGTTTAGCAAAGGCGGGGCCAGTTTTGGCTGATGCTCCAGGTCGGTGCTCTTGCCATGAGCCTTCTCCTCTGTCAGTGCAGCGTAGATCTTGGATCCATGCACCGCTCCCAGAGTGACATACACGATCATCAGAATGGCAGCCTGCTTGAGAGAGAACAAAGTGAGCAGACTAAGTTTTCCCGATCCCGAAATGAGAAGCGGGAGGGCCAGCACGACGATAACGACTTGGTTGTACACGCACAGCCCGACAATCTTGGCTTCGTTAAAGTCGGCGCGCACGTTACGCGTGGCAATGGCGAGCATGGTGCACACAGCCAGAAGGAGACCATTCCATACAATGAGCGCGAGCATCATGGTGCCTTGGAACCGGGTGCTGGACGACGAGCATGCGTAGTAGTACGTAACTGGGTTGATCTGCAGCAGTGTCGGTTTAGGTGCGTCATTCAGTGTCCAGATGAGCAAGAGCGCCATCTCGACCAGAATAGGAACGCCAGTCTGTACGAGCAGATCGCTGTTTGAGATTCCTTTGATCTTAGCCTGGATGCCGTTGAAGATGCGGAACAGCCGCAATAGCTTTGTCGAGAGAGCACCCAGCACGACTGCAAAGCCTAGCCCGATCAGCCAAATGTCTGCGACACAGTGGGTGACGGTAGGAGTCTGTCGATGGAATGGCGTTTTCAGTTTAGCAACCAAGGACTCAAACGGCAGAGCTATCCGTCACTCACGTCAACCATGGTCAGCACGTCCAGGCACGGCAGCAGCAGGCCAAAGAGCATCACCAGCTTGCTTGGAATCGACACTTTGCGCAGAGTTGGATCGTCTCGCTTGACAATGAAGAACACGGCAGCAGCCAAGATCAGCAGCATGGCCAGCACATTGAATGCAATGGCGACGGTGCCGATTACGCCGTTGGCGCTGATGGTGACGGTGAAGTCGGCCAGATTGATGTCGTCTGATGGCTTGACCGTCGATGCTGGAATGGAAGGAAACCAAGGATAGAGGCAGCCAGAGAGCAGGATTTAGCGCGATCCATCATGCTCTGGTGCATCAACAACAGCGCTTGGCTCACCGTCCCAGCCATAGTAGATGGTGCGATCGATGGTCAAATTCCGAGTGATGGCGTCCCACGAGCCGACCTTGACATAGTGCGCTGGATCGCCTTGCACATTCAGCAGGTCATACGGAGTCTTGGGATCGCCTGTCAATGGATCCAGGGCAATCTTTCCAAGGGGCGTGTAGACGATTGGAAAGTTGAACATGACGGCCGGGCTTGGAAAGCGTTCGTTCTCGAGGCCGGCCGCCAGACGCGTGAGGTTGGCACCCGGCGTGGTGCGCAGATAGCGATCAAAGCCACGCAGCATCAGATCAAGACACGACGTGATGCTCGATCCAAAAAACGGCCGACTCTTGTCAATGGTGTCAATCGAGCCTGCATTGGCATCCCACAGGTCTTTGAACACTGTGTATGCTGGTCCGTCGCCGTCGGAAGGCACCGTGTTGATGAAGCCACGCAGACTGGACGGGTCTGCCATTCGGACGCCGTCTGAACCTATCCACGCGTACTTGCTAGACATCATACCCTGCAGCCGAGCAGCCTGCGCGAGACCAGGCACGTTGTCGATGGGCGAGAAGACGAGGATCACGAATGCGTTGGCGTCACGAATGTTCTTCAGGAAGTTGTCCCATCTGGTCGTGCTGTTGGACGGATCGACGATGGATGTCTGCAGAGACACGACCGCCTGCAACGATACTATCTTGACCGTTGAGTTTGCGGACAGGTCTTGAAAGGTTCTCGTCAGACCGGCGCCGTATGCAGCCGTCTCGCTGATGATGGCGACACGACGCCAGCCCATGGCATTCACAAAGTCAAAGATGGCTGCTGCTTGCAGGTTGTCAGATGGCTTGGTGCGGAAGAAGCGCGGATATGCGATCTTGTCGGATAGCTCTGGAGCGCCAGAAGCACCGTCGCACTGAGGCACGTGGCGTGATTCTGTTAGGATGACTGTCTGTTGTTGGAGGTAGTCGGGGCACGTCAGTAGATGAGTGTGTTGCTGTTGGACAAGAGTGCGACTGACCGATTTTGTCACCGCACTGCTGGCAGACCCGATCATGGCGATGATGCCTTTGTTGAGCAGCTCAAGCGTTTTGACCAGCGCATCTGCAACGCTGACTAAAAAGCCATACAGCGGTGAGGGTCAATTCCATCTCCCAACAACCGAATGAGCCGGCAATTGGACTTACTGTCGTACGAGTTGTCGATAAGCTGAACAGTTGCGCCGGGCAACAGGTCTGTCGTGTTTGCGAGATGGCTGAGCCATAGCTGCAAGATAAGCAGTCTGTTTCGGTACCGGTCGCGACCAAGAGGAGGTCTGTCTAAAGGACTGGTATACTTGGCTTCGTTGAATCCAATGCGGATGGTTGTTGGTGTGGGAGGTGCGCTCGGGTCGAGGACGGCAAAGCCGGAGACCTAGTACCAAGAGTGTCAGCTGGAAGAATGGGAACCGCTGGGGGACAGCAGCGACGCGGCGTGTTTGTTGCTCCAGAAAGATAGCAAACGGGCCATTGGCGATGGACAGTAGATGGCAGGCAGGCAGGCAGGCATACCAAGAGAGCGAGCACGGGCAGTAGCAGACAGTGAAAGAGCATGCTCAAATGCATTCGCACGTTGGGCTTGGTGATATCGGCTAAGCAGAGTTGGGCTTGTTTCTGGGACAGAAATACTGGGGGTCTCGGGCCAGAGGCAGATCCGACAAGTCCGTTGCCAAAAACTGGGCGCAACGTTTCCTTCGTTATTTGAATCGCACATTTTAGAGAATGGCTTTTGGCAAACTCGTCACGGTCGCATTGGACGCTTGCCAAAACCCCTCTCGTCAATGCCCGCGGGTGTTTTCAACAAGGCTCTCTTGGCGGTGTCGGTCGTCGGCGTTGTCCTCAACTCTGCACTCATCGCCAGCATCATGGGCTCCAAGGCACTTCGCGCGCAGCCAGAAACGATCCTCAACGCCTCGCTCGCTTGCATTGACATGCTCTTTGCGCTGTCCATTGCTTCCAAGCAGGCCATGATTTTGGCAGTCGACGGCCGCGAGAACACGTTTCTGCACAGCAGTTTTGGCTGCAATGTGGACGCTGGCGTTCTAAAGGGCCTCGCTGTTGCATCCATCCTCACACTGGCGTATGTTGCCCGCAGTTGCATTGAAGCATGCGCCTCATGGGCCTTTGCAGCATCACAGAGTCTGGAACTGACATTGCTCGTCTAGGTCGATTTCTGTGTATCATTATCTACGCGTCGTTCCAGAAAGGAAGCATCCGCCGACAGCCCGCACCCTTGTCATTTGGTCTGCCAGCATGTGGGTGTTTAGCGGAATCTGGTCCTTCATGCCCATTGCGTTCGGCACAGGATACGTACTTCAGCCGTCGAAACTCTTCTGCTCGATCGACTATCCATCGCACAGCCTCGCCGTGATGATCGAAACTTCTCTGGACTTGCTCTTGTTTGCGGGATGCTTTGGTGTCATTGCGGCCTGCTATGGCTGCATCTTTGCCAAGTTTATGGGCATCAGCAACCGCGTCAATGCCGTCACTGCCCGTGCAAACCACCAGATGGACTCATCGGATCACTCGTCACAAACCCAGACAGGAAACCATTCACAGTCAACTGGCTCACTGCGACCTCTAACCAAACTTTCAGAGCCGCCATTGTTGGGGCGATCTCCTCAGCTGTCGCGTGCAGCTCACAAAGCAGGCGTCAATGGACAAGCCACCAAAACAGCGGCAAGCGGCGACTACATCCTTGGTAATAGCCACAAGAGCCTCCCCCAAAATGGCGATTCAAGCTCGTCTCTTCCAAAAGAACCCAAGCCAGCTCCTTCCCAGGCAAAGTACACACGCCCAAGGTCTACCAGCAATCCTGTCATGATGCAGATGAAGATGGCCATCATTCGACGCGCCATCATCATCACTGGTAGCTTCGCCGTTTGCTGGCTGCCGTTCCTCGTCTGCACACTTTACCAGACATTCACTCGCACCTTCGTCTCCGAGCTCTTTGATTCTCTCGTCATTCTTGTGGGAGGCTGTGCGGTGGTGCTCAACCCGATCGCCTTTTTCATTGTCGACGTGCAGTACAGACGTGGACTGTTTGA